ATATATATATATATATATATATATATATATATATATATATATATATATATATATATATATATATATATATATATATATATATATATTGTTTACATTTATTTATATATATATATAGATTACATTAGATTAAAATAAAGTAATTTATTTCATATTGGTTCAGTGTCACATCCCTGGCATGTTCCTGCTCACCCAATCACTGCTCGCCCTCAAAACCCGCCTCCATCCAATCCTGTAAATCCTCACTGGCCTTCTAATTACCTGCACTTGTTCTGCATCATCAAAGACACTATAATAGCTCACCTTATTCTCTCACTCATCAGCCGGTATTGAAGTCGGATGGTTATCTTTACCTTTGCTCCTTCGTCTTCTCCTCTTCTTCCATGGATGTTCCTTATGTGTCTTTGGATCCTTCACACTGATCAAGGGAAGTGAATATTTTTATATGGTGTTTACTGGAAGATTTAACACTTATCTGATGAACTGTGACGTGACGCCAGGGTTAAAGTCTGGCAAAGAATAGTTCCAGAAACCAGGTAAAACAAAAGCAAAAAGATAAATAAACAACAGAAAACAACTGAAAATATGGTGAAATCACACAACGGTTTTTCTTTTTCTAGACCGCTCTTGAAAGCACTATCGGTTGGGAAGGGGGTGGATGAGTCAGTCGGTCAGTCAGTCGACAGCAAGCTGGCCTGGTCAGCTGAAGTGTACCTTGCGCCCTCTGGTGGATTTATGCAAGAAGACGATGCATGAGAAAAATTTGAGTTCATCAAAAAGCATACACAGCGGCCTCTGGTGGATTAAAACAAAAAATGCGAGCAGACGTACCTCCGGTTACATATTTCGCTGTCCCCAGAAATGTAAACCTGGGTGCATAGCCGCAATGAGCCTGGGCTTTATTTCATACCCCAATTTTTGTTTAATGTAAAAAAACACATTCATTACCAATATTTTTAATAACCAAATTCTAATAACTGATTTCTTTTTATCTTTGCCATGATGACAGTACATTATATTTTACTAGATATTTTTCAAGACACTTCTATACAGCTTAAAGTTAAATTTTTGTCCAGAATTCGGCCAAAATATAATTGATCTCAGGTTAAAGTAAATTAATGATTAACTTAATTATCATGATCAAACACACAAGTAAAACAGGAATTCACTGCTTGTCTTGTTTTGAGCAGCTCTTGTGGATATGAATAGCAGCACATTGATTTGAGCTGCAGCAGCACACAGAGGCTCTGTTCAAGTCCAGTGCAGAGCGCAGAGTCTCTGCTAATTTTAGAGCTGATGCTGTGAGACGAGTGCAGAAAAGAGCAAACAGCCTATAGGGAATAACTGTGAAAAACATGACATGTGGCCTGGAGATCATTTGAAGATGCCTTGGCTTTTCAAAAAGAGGACGCTCATGACAGCCACATTTGTGCTTTTATAGAAGAGCGGCGTCACGGTGGTCCAGTGAGTAGCATGATCACCTCACAGCAAGAAGGTCACTTGTTCGTGCCTCAGCTGGATCAGTTGGCATTTCTGTGTGGAGTTTGCGTGTTCTCCCCGTGTTGGCGTGGGTTTCCTCCTGGTGCATGTGCTATGGGTGAATTGGGTAATCTGAATTGTCCGTAGTGTATGAGTGTGAAGTGTTGGGTTGCAGGTGGAAGGGCATCCGCTGTGTAGAACATATGCTGGATAAGTTGGCGGTTCGTTCCACTGTGGCGACCCCAGATTAATAAAGGGACTAAGTTGCAAAGAAAATGAATGAATGAATTTAAGAACCTGACCGGATGTCATTTCTAAGCTATAATTGCATAGAGGAGAGACTTTAAAAAGCCATTTTAACATTTGCTTTGTAAAACACATTGCTTTTCCATTAGTAACAGTCTGATATATTAGTACTATTCATTCATTCAATAGTTTCTTTTTGGCTTAGAGCATCAGTCACCAGACATGAACATTATTGAGCATGTGTGGGGTAAGATGAAGGAGGCATTGAAGATGAATTCAAAGAATGTTGATGAATACCTGCAAGAACGCGTTCTTTGCCATTCCAGATGACTTTTTTATTCATAAGTAATTGCAGAGATGTAGTCCTCCAAGTCCAAGTGTAACCCTGCCGGTCCCACGCTACCCGAGCTGGTATCGAACCGGCGACCTTCCGCATGGGAGTCGGTTGCTCTAACAAGGAGGCTAAAGACCATGGCCTCTAGCGTCTGTCGCTAGAACACCTTTAGAGGTCAGAGGAGTGAGGTTTACCTGCACAGCACACACTAGCTGGCCTCCGTTACACTCACCCCCCTAAACCTCACTCCTATCCGGGTCACGGCACCAATGTAACCCCACCGGTCCTACACCACCAAACCCGCTCCGAGCTGGTTTCGAACCGGCAATCTTCCGCATGGGAGTCGGTTGCTCTAACAAGGAGGCTAAAGACCATAGCCTCTAGCGTCTGTCGCTAGAGCACCTTTAGAGGTCAGAGGAGTGAGGTTTACCAGCACAGCCCCTACTTGCTGGCCTCCGTTACACAAGCTCATGGGAGTCATACACAATATTCATTCTTTCTCCACTGCACCATGACTTTATATTCTGTAGAATATAAAATTGTCAATACGTCGCTCCGAGCACATTTTATTTGCCGGATTCAGGTATCAAATCCACAAGAGGGCGCTGTCTACAGTTTTGCAAAACTGAAACACATTACTTCGTGTACATTTTGTTGTCTTTGAGATGCACGTTCTTCTTGTACGTGTCCATTAAAAGGCGGGGCTTGTCATACAGATCAGCTAGATCTGCTTTACCTAAACCCAACCAATAGTGTTTTCAAAAATGTAAGAGAAGTCATAAGCTTCTTTTCCACTATCGTTTCCAGGCCAGTCAGCATGGTTTTGTTTCACTGTGCTCTTAAAGGTCCCATGAAATTAGAATAAAGTTTTTTAAATGTTGGATTTTAGGATATCTATAAGCAAGTGTGCACCAAAAACAGACACAACTCATATTTAGAAGATATAAAACCGCTATTAACGTGTATAGATTGTAGTTTGTCACAATGGATTAACTGTTTTATTCACGTCACTTCATACGCCTCTAACCAAATCGTGACCAATTGAATGCTCTCTAGCATCTGACATGCCCAGCCTCCTTCAAGACACTTTACATTTGACAAGCTTGTACCCAACTACTCTCACTGGCAGAGCTGTGATAAAAACAAAACGCTATCGGCTGTTTTTTTAAAAAGAGAAGAAGCTACTTGATGTCCCGACCTCTCTTCATGCTTCATGTAAACATCGTTAAATGGTTTATGGAAATTCCATGAGTTTTCTGGGAGAAATAACAAAACAGGAGGGAGGCAGGAGATGAGTCTGAAATATGGGAGACTCCAGGGAAAAACGGGAGTGTTGGCAGGTATGGTTTAATGCCATAAAGACCAAACGCCACGACAAAGAAATGCTCTTCACGACATTTTATTCATTTTTCAAGTGTTTGGAATCTAACACAACATCTACTAACCACATCTGCTAACATCTGAATCTAGTCCACAACAATACGCTTTTGTGTATCTTGAGCTGGGATTGGCTAACAGACACATATTTTTCTTTTAGTTTAAGGCAAGTTCTCAAACACAGCGAGCTAAAAGAAACAGGAATATATAGACGGTATCACAGACACATGATTTTCATTTAATGTGTTCATTAAATAAAAGGTTAGTTCACTAAAAAATGAAACTTATGTTATTAATTACACACCCTCATGTCATTACAATCCCCTCAAGACCTTTGATCGTCAAATTATGATGTTTTAGATGAATTATGGGAGCTCCCTCATCCTCCATAGACAGCAAAGGTTCCTCTAGGGGTTCGATCGGAATAATATGAAGTTACGAGAATACATTTGTGCACACGTTAATAAAAAACTCAATTCAACAGTTTTTTGTCTCAGTGTCAGTATAGGGCACGCATTCAAGAAAACTCTAAGCTCTTTATTAGGGGTATGAACCTACGCCTGCCTCAAAGTTAAGGTCAGTTATGATTATCATCTCATTGATTTGGTTCAATTTGATATCATGTTGGATGCTTTCCAAAGACAAAGCTTGATTTTACTTCATAACACAAGAATATAATCTTGTCCTTTAATACAGTCAAATGTATGAGCTATACCTTTAATTTTGCCTGCTCAATTCCACTATCGTAATCTATTCCATGCTGATCTAGGCCAATCAGCACACAAATGGGTTCATTTTCCACTGTGATTATGGACTCTTAATATATGATTATGGACTCCTTAATACCTTGATAT